AAGGAGCAGGAATCCTGCTGCGACCGATGCTGTGCATCAGCCCGATGAAAGAAAAGCAGTGCGCTGCGTGAGGGGCGCACCACGATGTGCAGAGGTTTGCCTCCGCCGTAGCCACATCGGATCGCTGGGAGAGCCGTCTTGGCTTCCAGATCCCCACCGTGAGGACCTTCCCCGGGTCGTTAAGGGATGGTCAGTCCTGAAAACGACTGCTTTGAGCTCAGTGTGACGAGGTGAAACTTCAGAGCAGCGAAGGCTCATTTTAACTCTTCTGGAGTCTTCAGAGGATATAAAACAACGCGTGAATCTCCCAGTAAAGTGAAGAAGGCTCTAAGGAAACCTGCTTTGCAGCAGGTCCCCTAGAAAACTGGGACATCCACTTGAGGTTTTAAGGAAGTGAGAAGGAATAAAATCTTTAAAATGAATCTGACCGCATCTAAATTAGTAGATAAAAAAGTGACATAAATACCTGTGGAAACTTTCCACAGCTGTATCCTTAGTAATTTGTATAGTGAAATGAAAAAATAAACCCTACTACTGGGCTTGTCTGATAGCCTCTGGAGGGAATGGAAACTCATCCATGTTCAAAAGCAACAGAAACCTGGTATGATTTGGCTAACTGCAAGGTGGAGGCAGACTTGTGATGCTGAAACCAAGATGCTGGTTTTCTAAGACTTTATGATGTAGTTCAGAGTAAAAAAGTTATAAATCATGTCCTTTGTATTTTGGTCATTCAGGAATTTGAATGTGAAACTGGTATATTAATATGGAAGTTAAAAGTGTCTCTTTCCTCAAGCTGTTAAGGACACTTGGAATTCTCCAATTAACTTCCTTGCATGTGGGGTGATAACAGCTGCATCCTTGGCTCTGTCCTAGTCACTGGGGTTCCCTGTACAAGATGTAGGAAGGAATGACTTCTTAGGCTAGCTTTTATTTTCCTGTTGTCCTCCCTTCCATTTAAAAAAAAAAAAAAATCCCAAACAGAATAAACCCAAGCTTGCAGCTATCTACATATTCAAGAAAGTGATAATGTGTTTCAAAAACCTGCCAAAAGGCTAAATGATATTACAGTGTTTTTGAGATACAGTCTTAAAACTGTTAAGCAGACACAGAATTATGTAGCTTTTAGAGTTCAAATAACAGAAAGCCTCTCATTTATTTAAAATCAGCATTGTGTTTGTAGATACATCAGTTAAGTGTATCATATTAAAAATAGAGAACTGTTGAAGAGGAGTAAACGTTCTTTCTCCAGAATTAAATTGAGCATTTCTGAAAACAAAAACCTGACTTAAAAAAAAAGACTCCCCCATTTCATCAACTCCAGTACTGCTGGTGTTCTAATGTTGTAGCTTCTTAACGAACAGTACAAATCCATATCTGTAGAGGGAGTTGAAATAATCCTAAATACTGAAGTTGTTGGTATGATGACTTGAGTAATATGTTGGCACAGTGAGGTCAAGAAGATCTTCTAACAAGGTGGACAAAACCAGAAATGTAGGCATGTGTTACTGATAATCTCCCCGCTCTCTGAACGTGAGCGAGCACATCCTAGCTGGGTCCAGCACCAATTCCGTGGATTTGCGGATAAGTATCGGACATTTCATAGAATCATAGATTCATTAAGGTTGGAAGAGACCTCTAAGATCATCAAGTCCAACTGTTGACCCAACACCACCATGCCCACTAAACCATGTCCCTAAGCGCCTCATCTACACGTCTTTTAAATACTTCCGGGGATGGTGACTCAACCACTTCCCTGGGCAGCCTGTTCCAATGTTTAACCACTCTTTCAGTAAAGAAAGTTTTTGCTAGTGTTCAGAGCAGAGGTCTTGATTCAGTAGCTATTTTGTATTAGCATCTAAATGCAGTTGTCCATGGATTTCGGAGTATTTCTGGACGAAGGTGTACTGGACACTCAACACTGCAGTTGTAAAAATAGTCTTCTGAGACTCTACTAAGGTCTTAAAATTGAATGCTCTAGAAGCAAGTTGCAAAATGCTTGATAATCCATGTACCTGGCCACACAAGGGTCTGTGTACTATATTCGGTATTTAATGGGTACTGCTATCCTGCGTAAGCTTGTACAGTGAGCTTGTAGTACCTGGCTTGTGGAGAGTTTACCTATTCCAATGGTCAGAACGCAGAAAGCTTGAGATGGGAGAGAGGAATTGGCTTGCCAAACCAGCAGTGGCTTTCTTAGTCTCATTTGTTACAGTGGTACAGTATATATTCAGTATAGTTCAGCCTGCTCGGTGCATTGAATACCATCAAGCAAGCCAGGTAATTATGCATTGTGCATGTGGTGGATACCAAGTTGTGGGTGACTGGTCCCTGGACTGGTGCTGCTGTTGAATATTTGTTTTGAGAAGCTTGAAACTAGAGAATGGTCTACAGGGTGCAGTAGTTCAGGAGACACTCTTCTTAGTGCTGTATCCCATTTATCTGTGGGTGTCTGTCATCTCACAGGAGAAGGTAAACGAATCAAGCTCTGGGGATTGTATAGGCCAGGCACATAGGATGTCCACTCATGCTTCTCTACCTGCCAGTCTGTTTCTCATCCCCTAGTTCCTCATCCCTGTTGCATAAAGAGAAGTTCTTATCAATAGTCACTGTTGAGTGATAGAACCATTTATTTGTGCAGGCTCTTCTGGTGGGTTGACCACACAGAATATAGTGTTCTTTAATAGGAAAACATGGATTTTTGTGTAAATAAGATGACCTCAGTAC